AACCCCGAGATGTATGGTTGTTCCACACAATAGTAGTTAATTTCTCACTCATATGAAGTCTGAAATAGATGTTCCTGAGCAGTTGTGATTCCTGCAGTCAGTGAAGCAGTGAACCAGGCTTCCTCCGTTTTGCAGTACAGCAGTCCTCCCGTTATCCACAGGGGACACGTCCCAAGACCCCCGGTGGATGCCTAACTGACGATAGTACCAAACCCTATATAAACTATTATTTTTCCTATGCACACATACCTATGATAAAGTTTAATTTATAAATTAGGCACAGTAAAAGATTAGCAACCATAATTAATAATAAAATAGAACAATTGTACTGTAATACAAATTATGTGAATGTGGTCTCTCTCTTATTTCAAAATATCTTATTGTTCTCTACTTACCCTTCTTTTTATGGTGATGTGAGATGATAAAATGCCTACATGAGATGAAGTGAGGTGAATGATGTAGGCATCGTATGTATTATTAAGCTACTATTGACCTTCTGCCTGTACATCAGAAGGAGGATCATCTGCTCTGGACCACAGTTGACCACCGGTAACTGACACCATGGAAGGTGAAACTGTCTACTGTATGTCCCTCCTATGGCTTCAAGGATGTCATGGTTATCTGCATGGAGCCAATGGAAGGGTAAAGAACAGAATAACACATAGAGGAAGTTCGGGGGAGGGAAGCTTGGATGTGGCACCGATCAACCATTCACATTCCTTTGGCTAGACTGTAGTCAGAGGCCATGCCCATGGCAAGATGGTCCGGGAAATGTTGTCTAGCTAAAGCCCAGGAAGAAGAGGAAGCTGGTCCGGCGAAAGCTAGCAGCCTCCATCACAGTGAGTGTCTTGTTTCTTTCTCACTATAAGCCAGAGGCACATTTAGTCCTGAATGCAGACACAGTGGCCTTGAATTCTCTTTTCCTCTTTCTAAACATATTCCATCCTCACACATAAATTGTCACACTTTATTTTTCTCTCAAACTATAGCTCATTTAGGTCAAATAAAAATAGAGAATCTATTTCTTAACGTGCCATCTCAAACTTTTTAGGAAAGGAAGTGAGGTCATAATTATAAGCAAATACACTGATAACAGGTGAGTGATCTTTCTGGTTCAACACGGCTGAAAAATTCCCCTCCCCCCCAAAGGTAACTTCATGAGACTCATGGATGTCACTGTTAGTTTCCTGTTGGTGCAACAAATTACCACCAACTTAGTGGCTTAAAACAACACAAATGTGTTATCTTAGGGCTCTGGAGGTCCAACAGCAGTCTCAGTGAGCTAAAGCCGAGGTGCTGGCAGAACTGCATTTCTTCCGGAGATTCTATAGGCGAAGCTGTATCCCTGCCTGCCAGCTTCTAGAGGCAGCTGCACTCCCTGGCTCATGGCCTCACGTCATGCCCACCTCTGCTTCCATCAACACACCTTCATGTCTCTCTGATTCTCCAGCCTCCCTTTCATAAGGACCCTTCTGATTACTTTGGGTGCACTTGGATATTCAGTATAATCTCTCCATCTCAAGGTCCTTAACTTAGACTTGCAACAGTCTCTTTTGTCATGTAAGGTACATGAGAGGCTAACACACTAAAAAAATCCAAGGACCAGGATGTGGACATCTTCAGGCGGATGGGGACCTATATTCAGCCTACCATATGATCTTATGTCTCTACTGTGAGTGATAATCAGCAGGTCTAAACATACACGAAGAGGAGGAAAAGATATGACTGACTCATTGACCTGACTGGAGTGGCAGGGGCTTGTTAGCATCTGTGGGGCACTGGGGGGGACTAAATCATCAGGAATTGTTACAACCACAAAATAATGGCGTCAGCACGCAGCAGGAGCGGAACATGAAAACAAGCAGACATACAAGTAATCTGTGAACATCTTCATGGAAATTCACAAGTGTGTAGGTGGAAGAATACCAGAGTCTGTGTAAAGACAAAGGGAGAGAAGAACAGAAGTGGTTTTGGTGGGACCATATTATAGATAGATAAAAAAGAGAGTCCCAGAGCTGATCACAGCATCGGCGTAGGGCCGTAAGAGTGAGTGTAAGGGGACTTCAGCGCTCCCCATTATGCAAGGGGGTCTCACAGAGTCTGGCAATTCTTGCTTTGCTGTCAGCTTAATCTCTCAGAGGTTTGAGAAAACATTTTGGAGAAACAGCTGACACCGTCAGGATCCAGTTCTAGCCAATAAAGAGAAATTAGTTTTGTGGAAATGAAACTAATCTTGAGGAAGAGACCATGAGGTGTCATGCATGTGTGTAAATGATTTTGTGTGTGGGCTAGGGGGGGAAGGGGGCAGAATTATATTTATTCCAGGTTCTATGCTAGGTGCCTTACTATATATTATCATCTTCTAACAACACAAAAATTCTATGAAGTGGGTGATACTAGTTTTTGCTGTGTAACAAATTATCCTCAAACTTAGTGACTTAAAACAATAAGAATCATTTATTATTATCATCCCTTCTGGTTCTGAGAGTAGGCTGCATTTATCTAGAGGCTCTGGCTTGGAGTCTGTGCATGCAGCTGGGCCAGGATCATCCTAAGATTTCTCTGCACATGTCTGACGCCTGGGCTGGGAGCACCCTAACACTGAGGACCTGGACGAGTTTGTAGCTTCAGGGTAGCCAGACTTCTTACATGGTGGATCCAGGCTCCAAAGTGGGATTCCCCCCAAAATATAGGAGACTCAGTTAAAATTTAAGTTTCAAAGAGACAACAAACAACTTTCTAGTGTAAGTATATCCCATGCAATATTGGGACATACTTACACTCAAGTATTATTTGTTGTTTTTCTTAAAATTTAACTGGGTGTCCTGTATTTTTACTTGCTAGTTAACTCTATTCCCAAGGTGTACATCCTAAGAGAGTGCCAGGCAGCAGCTGTGTTGCCTTCTATGGTTTTATCTCAGACGTTGCCCAGTGAGGGTATGTCAACATCGTGTTGTAAGAAAAGCAAATGGGATGGGGTACACATATATGTTTATTGGTATGGCCATCTTTGGAAAATGAAATCTTTATAGAAGCCTCTTTTGTACAGATTAAGAAACTTAGGTATAAGCAAATTCAGTGACCTGGGGAAGTGATACTGCTAATGGCTGCTTGAATCCAAAATCCATTTTTGAGCTTATGATAGCCAAGGACGGAGAAAGTTCTGCAGTTAAAACATTCAATCTAGACTTGAAGGAAGCAGATTTCCCAAAGATTGGAGGAAAGATAGGCCAGATGTCACGGTCAGACACTTTGAAATGAATGCTGTCAACAGGTTTGGGACGCTCTCAGAAATGTCACTCTAGATCTTCAATTGCATGTGACGGTCCTGCAGGAGAAAAGGGAAGGGAGCTAGTAAAACGAGAGGCTGCACAGGAAATCCTGTGATGCTTTCAGACTTTGAAAGGGCAGGAGCAGAAATGGGAAGGAAGAGCACTTAACCAAGGACAAATAGGGATCAGTGGGAGAATTGTAGGAACAGCAGCAGGAAGTGTTACACCCCAAATGGTCTCCTGGAGAATGTTTGGGAAAACAAAGAAGGGATAGACTTACTGCTTCTGGTCAACGCTGTAACATTTATGGGCCAGAAAAGGAAGGAACTCCTCCAAGACAATGACCTTGAAACAAACACAGCCTCTGGAACATAGTCATCAATACATATCGGTCCACTGCATGAATGAACAAGCAAACACCTTTAGGAAGGAAATGAACACCAGGATTGGCCACAGTAAGAAAGCACCGAGTTCTTTTGACTGGAGCTTCTGGTGCAGGAATAGGTAGGATGCTGAAAGGAGAGGCTATGAAGGAAAGAATAAAATGAGCAAACATCAGTCTAATGTCTAGAAGGAATAATTAATGACAGTGAAAATGGGTTACTTGGCAAAAATTGGGACCACCATTCCATTTAGAATTGGCGAAAGAAGTTTTGACTCCAAAGTATCTTTGGTTTGAAGTGGTTAAAATGTAAAACTTAGACATTTGTTTTAAAGGATTGTCTTGTTTTATATAATTTTAAAAGTCACCTACTTCTATATTTTCTTGGAAATACATTTAGCTGGACAGTGCTAGAGAGAACTTACTCTTACTCAGACCCCTTAGGTTTGGGTGTAATTTACTAATAAAAGACATTATCTTGGAACTATTTCAATATTTAGTTCAAAGAGACATAGGGGACTTTTATTGTGAAATGAAGTGTTGGAACATTAAAAGTTTGTTTTTGGTTTGGTTATGCTTTAAAATTTCTCACAGAATTTGGACTAATGTAATCAATAAAATGCTTTGTCTTTTCATTTACAGGCTTTATGAATAAATGCCGAGTTTTCCCATTAAGGCCTTGTGAGATTTGCATTCAAAACACCTGTAGTTTGACACCATTTTAGCTTATTTTGGTATTCAAAAATCTGTTGACACCCAAGATAAAAGACATCAAGTACATGTATTCAATCATTTTCTTTTTTAATTCTTATGATATGCAGTCCCTATTCTAGGCACTGGAGGTAGAACCATGAATGGGGTAGACTCTGGTAAACAAGCAATCAAATGAATAAAAAAATACAACTTTATAAAGTAATCTACACAATAAAATTATAAAACAGATGAGATGATATGGAATGACTGCAGAAACTTCTATTTTAGATATTTAGGTAAGATTTTTTTTATAAGGTGGTGACATAGGAATATAGATTAAATAAGGAGCCAGCCATTATGTCTATAACAAGCGTAATAAAAATATATTGTTCCTATAATAAATTCTGTAACAACTTATTTCTTTATTTAATTTATTATTTAGAGATTTGGCCTCACAGAAATGGGGGAGCTGATTAATGACTAGACGTGAGGCTGATGTTTCTGCCTCTCATACTCCATCTGAAGTCAGCACTTGAGAATGCAAGACGGGTGTGAAGGGAGGGTAGGAGGACACACTGGGAGCTGCAAGGATGGGCCAGAACCTGACTGTCCCTCTGCACCTTCAAGACTGACCTCTGTGCCCTTCGCTGTAGGGCTGACTGTGCACCTGACCGGGAACTGGAGTTGCTGAAGGGAAAGATCCTGTGGGGACTGAAGGTGCTCTGGCTCGGCTGTTGTCCCACAAAATGGGCCAGCAGATGAGCATCAATATGAGCAGGCGGTTGCCCTTCACTGACCTTCCTAGCAAAACAAGAATCATGCCGCAGCTTTGCTTCCGCCTTCCAAATCTCATGCACACTTGTGGTCCATGCCAGCCTGTAACTCTGCATGGAGGGGGTTCCAAGAAGTGGAGGTCTAGCTTAGAGTTGACACAGTACAAGCCCAGCCCGGTTTGTTTTCAGAGCAGTGAGAGGACCAGGGCGGCTCACCATCCTCACGTTTGCTCATGTCCTGCCTCCTCAGTGCAGACCTATTTAGGAGTGCAGCCCACCCTTGCTGGCCCCAACTCAACACTTGCAATTCCTCTCTAATTTCTCTTTATTTTCCGTTGCACTCATCACCTCCTGTTTATGATATCACTGATTGGTACCACATTTAATGCTTGCTTTTGTTTCCCATCAGTAGAATAGAGCATAAGTATTTTTCCATTTTGTTCCATGATGTGCCCCAAACACTCTGAAAGCTCCGTCACTGGGCAGGCACTTAACCCCTACTCTTGGAGGAAGGAGAACAATTGGCAGTGTCCGAGATGAGTCTGGAGAAGTCAGCAGTGGCCAGGACAAGTGGCATAGATTTTATTTTAGATGTACTGAGAAGCCCTTGGGAGGTTTCAGCAGGGAGTCATGTGTTCTCTCTGACATTTTCACAGGTTCACTCTGGAGGTGTGTGTGTGTGTGGAGGGGTGGGCATGGGGGGGTATGGGAGAGGGTAGGCTCGGAAGGAAGTGACTGCAGTTGTCCACTTGGGATGAGAGTAACTTGTGCTATGGTGATTGAAAAGTGGTGGCAAGTGGTCAAATTCAAGATATATTTGGGAAGTAGAAGTGTTTAAGCACTCTGAAATGGGTTGGATGTAGAAATAAGGGTAGCTTAGGGGTTCATCCTGAGCTGCCGTGTGAAATGGTGGGCCCACTAGCAGAAATGAAGACTGGAAGAGCAGCAGGTTTGAGGTCAGGAGCCGAGATTTTCATTTCTTCATTAAACAGCTATTTGCTGAGCCCCCACTATGCTCTGGGCACTGTGCTAATTCTTAGGAGTACCATAGTGAACACCCTGGACTAAAATCCTTGCCCTCAGGGAATTTACATTCTAGTGGGAGGGAAAAGCAATAATCAGGAAAGTTAGTAAGAAAAAGTATGTTAAGAGGTGATAAGATGTAGAGGACAAGGGAGGGAGTAGGGAGTGTGAAGAGAGGGTGTAATTTAAAATAAGGTGGCCAAGGAAGGCCTCTTTAACCAGTGGCCTTTGGTAAAGACTTGGAGGAGGTGAGGGAGGGAGCCGTGAGGACACCTGGTGAAAGAACTTCCCAGGCAGGTGGTACAGCAAGTTCTTGTAAGGTCAGCCTGCCTGCCTTATCTGAACAACAGCAAAGAGACCAGCATGGTGGGGCGGAGTGGTCGGGGAGCAGTGAGAGAGGACTGGGAAGTGATGGGTTGGGGGTAGCAATGAGACTATTTTATGGATTTGTATTTGGCATAAGATGAGAAACCATTGGAAGCAAAGGAATGACAAGAGCCAACTTAACCTTTTGAAAGGTTTGAGACACCCATGAACATCCTAGTGGAGATGTCAAGGAGGAGGTTGGATGAGTCCGTAGCTTGGAAGAAATCGTAGCTGGAGCTGGGTGCTATCAGCGTATAACAGTATTTAATGCCAGGAGACTAGATAAGGTCAACCAGGGAAAGGTGATAGATAGAGAAGGGCAAATAAAGGCAACAAAAAAAATCCCAGCAGGAGGTGCCGTGCATGGAGACTCTGGCCATCTGGAGGGATTGTTCTGCTGCCTTCACAGTGGGGGACCCCCTGTGGGGGCGAAGGTAGAGCCACTTCGTATACAGTGCTCTCAGGATCCATAATGAAGAAACTTACAAATTCAAAATGCATACTGTATATGTGTGCATACTGTAGTCCTTTGTAGAGAAAAGCTGTGATTATAAGTGCTGTCAGGTGGGCAGATGTGGCTGACAACAGCCAGGAACGACCAAAGATTCTCAGCTACAGGTAACATCCAGCTGGGCCCATCGGCTGCTGTTGGCAGAGACTGGGCTTTGTGCAGTAAGGCCAGTTGAGGTCACAGCTTGAAAACTTTGCTCAAAAATTACACTTGCCTATCTGCAGATGGTCAGATGCTACCAGTAGTGTCCTGGTAAACCAGCTGTCCTGGGTGGGATGGGGTGGGGTGGGGGGCCTGATTTGCAGCATTTGCTGATTTCCATGGTATAAGTACTCTCACCACAGTCAGTTTCAGGTTACCGATGATTTAACAACTGGCTCTCAAAAGTCCTGCAGTTTCCTGATATGCAATAGCTGGCCCCAGCATACCACCTTTTTCTCTCCATAACCCATGGTTAGGCTGTACTTTTAAAGGCCCAATGTCTGTGGCTTCTCAGATTTTCTCCATTCCCTGTATCAATGCCTACGGTTTACATTGAAGATGGCTGAGTGCCCAACACAATGGTATTTGCCTCTGAAATTAGAAGCTACTTCGTTACTGTCAGGTTTAGCCATGACCCCAAGAAGGTATCAGCAAGTGTTTTCCAAATCAAACTGCTGTCCTTGGCATTTCCTGCTGAAGGATACTTTTCCTCTCTTGGGGTGGGCCGTATATCCATATGTATATGATTTTCTACATCATTAAATTATTTTGAGACATTCTATAGGGAGGCCCCTGAACTTGATGCTGGAGAGACAACAGGCAGGAAATCTGCCTTCCAGGGCCTTATGGAGAGTTGAGAAAAATTGAAAGGATACCTAGGAAGGTTATTATTATTATTATTTTTAGAGTCAGCAAATGTTCCATACAAAATGAAAGACACAGACGGTGGATGCCGTGGGAGTTCACAGTAGGCAAAACTCAGGCAAGCTTTTGGGGGCTTATGGGGTCAGAACCCGTGTTAGGGCACAAAGTGAATGCTGTGCAAGGCAAAGGGACCCCATTTGCTTTTCTCATTTTCATTTACGACTTGCCATCAAAAAGACTACCATTCCCCATAACACTGTAATGATCAGCAAAATGCTGTGGACCTTAGGATTGTAGATTGGAGGAGAGATGATGTATATTTATTTAAATCTACTCTCCCTACCGCCCACCCCAAGTTCCACTCCATTTCTGAAAGTCAGATGGAAAAGTCAGCATCCTTTGAGACTCGCTGCTGCTTTGGAGAAACGAGTGAAGCTCAATCAGCTGCTCGGTGGGTTCCCTGTTGGCTACTACAGTGTTGTTTTCATGCTCCCAGCAGACCTGGCATGAAAGCATCTCAGGTGGGTCATATGGCTGGGAGAAAAAGTAAGCCACAGTCACATCAAAGTGCCACCACCACCAGATCTCCAAGACAGGATCCATTCTGTGGTCAGTGGACACAAAGGTCCCCCGTTACCCTTTTTGTATATGTGATGGTGATTTGGGGGAAAATGCACAAACCAGAAGACATCCAGACAGCGAGGCTGCTCTCACTAGCGACATTTGTGCCGCATTCTTCCTGGCCCCTGGTGTGCATTGCAGCACTCAGACCGATATAGGCAACTATTGAAAATGAACCATCTGGTTTTTGAAGTACAATTTTTCTCTGAAATTGTTTTCTCCAAGTACTAAAATCATTTCTTTTTCCCCACTGCACCACTGTTAAGTATTACTATTTTTCCATAGAGCCACAAGAACTGAACTCAGATGGATTTCTTTGCAAAAGCTCTTTCTCCACAGGGCGGCTGAGCTTCCGGACCAGAAGGCCTGTAGGGCAGTCGGGACATCTGTCTCTTGTGTGGGGAGGGCTTGTTATCATGGGAAGCAGCCTCAGTGACTGGCGGAGGTCATCCAACCCTGGTTATTCTGGTTCATTTGTCATTTCGTAGTGACAGTTTTCACTTTCGTCCAGGAATCTCCAGGGAGGTTTTACAACATTGTGACTGAAACAGTCATGTGCTGGTAGCTTCCACAGACTAAAGATTTATTTGCCCAAAAGACAGAGGCAGCTTCGTCAATGGGGCAAAGTATTATATAAGCCATGTGACAGCGAGCGGCTGTCTCTAGTCTTCCAGCCTTTGGCCCTCTTTGCCTTTCAGTACTGTGCTCACTGGCTCACATTCAGGAGCCATCTTGCATCCACTCCAAGGTTTCTGTAGGTTCCTCATGCAGCCTAGCGTTGTGCTCCCCAGGCCACGCCTCAGTGGCTTCCCTGATTCTGACTTCCCTTGCCCGGCAGCTTGCCTTCCTGGACGCTTCTCTTCTCTCTGCCGCTCTCGCTCACATGCACCGGAAAGTCAGACAGAGCTTCCTTTCCACAGGACATGCTGTCACAAGATGGAGGCCCTTGGCCAGCTTTCCTGCAGGCTTGTGAGTGATGGGGCGGATTTGTAATAAAATATTACACAGCCCTGACTTTCCTCCTCAGGCCCTCAGTCTGCTGCTCTGCTCAGCCCTTTGCTGTTCTCTGGAACTGGTCTCATCACCCAGCTTCTCTCCCATCTCTCCTACCCCAAGCCATCCCATCCCTCTCCCTGGGCTACCCTGAAATGTTCACATTCCACCCACTTCATTTTGTCTCTGTGCTTCCTAAGCTCACCCTTCCCAGGAACCAGTAGCAGAGTAAAGAGAGGATGCATTGCATTCCCCACCCCCACATGATTAGAAAGGAAAAAATAAAACAAATCAGAAGAATGCCCCTCAACGTGTACATCACTGTTGTCCCTAGTGGAATCATGCATGATTTTATTCTTTTTACTTCTTTGTATATTTTCCAAATGTCCTATAGTAAAGATGAATTATTTTATTACAAAGAAATGAAAACTACAGAATTATTATAGGGAAGATTTGTTCCCTTAAAAAAAACACTACACATGTATCCAGTAAACCAGCTTTATATAGTTCATCACACCAAATAGCTACGATAACTGGATCTTTCCCTGTTTTATATCATCTGTAGTCCCAGTACAAAATTTATCCGTTTCAGAATCTCAGATGTGGGATTGATTGTACCTGGAACCTACTATGAATATATCAGATGACCTTAACTTTTATGAAGAGCATCAGGTGAAGGGAAAACTCAGTTCCCTTAACACTGAGAACTGTGGTCACTCAGATACCCGGGCAGAACCTGCTCCTTTCAGCACTTCATCTCTAGCTCATTGAAAGCCATACTTTTTGTCATCACTACTACTGCTGCTGCCACCATCACCATCCCCATCATCATTTTTTGCTGTGCCAGGCTAGGTACGTGATAGCTTACACATAACCCCATACTAATTCCTACTGCAACTCTATGAGGTAAGGATCCCTGTTCCCCTGTAGTTGAGGAGACAGGCTCAAAGAAGTTAAAGTACTTGCCTGATGATTGATGACCCGGCAGAAATGGCAGCGATTTTAAAAAATTAGAAACATTTTAATAATAAAGTGGACACTACAGATTTTGGAGATTAGAGGAAATAAAGAAACCCCACTCCCGTCATCCCTATTCCCCATATCTTGTTCTATTTTTCTTCATAGTGAATATTACTTTCAAACATACTGCATATTTAATTATTATGTTTTATGGCCTGACTGTCCTCACTAGAACATCAGCTCCATGAAGAGAGATCTCTGTCTTGTCCACAGCTGTATTCCCGCAGCTGGCATATAGTAAGTGCTCATTAAACATTTGTTCCTCAGTGGTGCTGATGTGAAGGAACACCAGGACGTCCGGCAGGAAAGCTGGTGTGGGTGGGAGGAGACAGGCTTGGTCTAGACCACTGGGTCTCAGGTGCCGAGGCCTGCTCGGTGGAGGTGCCCATCAGGCAATTTGGAATGTGCGAGCGGAGCTGTGGGGACAGGTCCAGCCTGGGAGCCTGGGTTTGGAAGCTGTTCAGAGGGAGAGAGAGAGACAAGAAGATACCGTGAACCTTGGGGGCAGTGAGAGCGCTGGGGGTGCAGCACCGGAGGGCAGGAAAGGAAACGGGTGTCGGGTTTGGCAGAGGGAAGAGCAATCAGATGTGTCTCACATAGCAGAGACGTTTTAAGAGAATTCAGAGGAGGCTTGGGGGCGAGAAGAGGCCATCTAGTCATTGGTGTTCTTTGGGTGCGGAGTTTCACCTGAGCGGCACGGGCCTCAGAGACCAGACCTGCAGAGCCCAACGTGATGGCCCAGGGTGGCTGTCCAGCGCTTGACATGCGGCAAGCTCCAGCTGAGGTGTGCTCTGACTTTAAAAATATCACTGACCCGTGAGGATTTTGACAAGACAGGGAAAACAATGCAATGTGTCTCATTAATATTTTTTTTATTGATTACATGTTAAAATGATATTTTCATTTCAAATATATTAAGTCAGGATAATATTAGCTTAAATAAGATGTTATTAAAAGTAACTTAAACTTCTTTTTGTTTTTTAAATATGATTACTTGATACTTTCACATTACACATGTAGCTTATATTATATTTCTATTGGACATAGATGGGCTGGTCTGCTGGGGTTAAAGTTCAGCAGCATGTATAAACTTCTCTCCCTTCCTTCTTTCCATCCATCCTTGATTTCTCCCTCCCTTCCTTCCCCTCTCTGACTCTCTCTTTAGAAACAAATACCTTTCAGCAGCCACCTTAGTTTCTGAATGGACACCTGAGTGGTTGATCGTCCATTCTCAATAAAAATAGGTGCTTTTTGATATCAAATTGTCAAATTTCTCTAGCATTAATTTGCCTGGAACTAAATTAAAGTCAGTGATATATAGTCTATTAGCTGTACTGAGCTTTTAGCCTCCCTGGGAGAAAAAAAAAAAAGAAATGGCATAAAATGAGGTTTCTTGTGCTCTAAACAGCAAATAAATGAAGGCCTTTGAAGAAACTACCTACGGTGAAATCCTGGAATTATAATTAACCAACCCTCCAATTTGGCACACAGAGGTCTTCTTAACAATGTAGCCGTCTCCCATGTAACAGTCCCTCTGGGTGGCAGGGAGCAAGACTGTGGATTGCCTGGGCCCAAGACAAAGACGTTACTGATTTGGATGCCCAAGCGGCTGCTTAGGAAGGAAATTCCCA